TTGGGAGCAGCCAACTCGATGCTTGGACGCCGTTTAGGGACCATGTCTAAAATCGATTTGTTTAGTAATTTCCGCTACCAAATCAGACGATATGAAGAAAATGTCATCACTTACAAAATCAGAAAGACCGTTACTTGAACTTTGATTGAAAGAAGGAAACAGATGAATGGAATTTATTAAATCGTAAATTAGTGTGATGAGATGTTGATGTTTTGGTGTTTGATTTGGAATCAGTGGATATGAAAACATACTCGGGCGGGCACATTGTGATCATGTTACTATTTTGAGTAGGTCTTCTCGTTTTAATGTGTCATGATTCAATATTTTTTCAATTGTCATATCTGTGTGCTATATTTAGGTCTCGATTTCACTTAATGATTCACATTGTGACTCCCCTGCCATGCCTGCTGGCGATATGTCGGGAAAACTAATAAAAAACGTTCGGAATAATCAACTGCGATACATGTTGGCTGCATTTACATTTTTATATGACTCAAATATAATTCGTTTGGACACAATGTATCGACTGCGTAATCGTTGCAAACATTTGCAAATGCATTTTTACGAGACTTGAAAAAAGCAATGATGAGTGTGTCATTACCGGTAAACATTAAAACGGTCTCTTATGACATTCGATCCCTAAACATGGAGATTTGTAGTGATATCTTAATGTCAAGGTAAAAATTGTCAAAAGTCATGTCCGATGAAAAATATGTGATGGGCTCTCGGAATCCCTAAAATGCCAACAAGATCCTTACGACCGAGACGTGTGCAAATTCACATTCCATCACACAACAATAACACTAGTATTTTCAGCCGATTTGGGTTGAAAAATTCCTATCCAAATATTTTGATCCAAAGCGAGCCTCGGATTTTCCAGTAACATCCTTTCAAAAGTCGGTGGTAATATACGAAAACATTGTAAGTACAAATCGCTTAGCGTACGCGAAAGGATTTTTCTTCACTTTACTGTTTTTCTTAGGACATCCCTTATATCCTTTGTCGTTCATTCTACTTTCTTTTCAAATATTGAATTTGTGATATGGGCAAAAGAGATGTGACCTTTGACCTCTACGAGCCACGGGGGTGTTGGTGCAGCGGTACGCCCCTCGTGGGGGTGTCGTAAGTCCTCGTCGACCGACCCTAACAGCATGATCTTCACAGTGCAAGTTCATCTTTTTTTGGAAAGTGATGGAAAGTATAAAATTGGATGGGAAGTAAGAATTGTGCGTTTTGGAAGGATATCGCGAGCTTGGTTGTTCTGTGTTTACATCTTTCTGAGTCTCAGCAGACGGTCATAATTACATAGAAATATATTAATAAAAACATCTTGTATAAAACAAGGCTGCTAATAAATCACTTGATCATACATAATTGTTCTTTATTGAACTAGAATTGCCGGCATATACTTGCCTGGTATATGATTTTGCATTTCTACTGTTTCGTTTATGATATTAAAAAAAAAAGGATTTCAGAAATATTGGAGTAGCATTTACGGGCATGTCAGGCTTGTCGACCCCATTTATCCATCTTCTTCATGAACTCATAACAAACAGATACGAAGTGAACCGCTCATATTCCGAGAAAGTGTCTCTCAGGCATCTTCATCAACACAAGTGTTGTCTCTTCTCCAAGATCCTCCTAAGTTTGCCATAACTCATTATCAGAGAGAAGAGGTCAATGGTTGTTTCTCCTCCATCAAGTGTAGGCCAGAGTTAATAGAATGACAAGATCGAAAAAACAAAGGCAGCGCTTGTGATAACATCAAGTGTATACCACTTTCTTTTCAAGTGTTTTTTTTTCCACGATAAAATGTTTTTTACCTTGCTTTGCTTTGCTTTGCTTCATGAAGGCACTGATTATGGTTGTATTGCACGCCGTATATACCCCTATTTGTGAGAAAAAGGTATTATTATGTGAAGGACTACGTATATTTCCTTCGTAATGTATTTTTCTTTCGTTACTACACAATTATGCTTTACCATTTAAGGTTATTTCAACCATCACTCATGTCAAATATTCTTTTGAACTTTCAACTACAAGTACGTTTCTTGTTGATTTGTAACGTTTTGCTGTAAAGAATGCATACTTGTTTTTCGATACAAAAAAAAAAAAATCATTTTGATATGAATTGAAAATTTGCTCCTTGGACTGGAAAGGTTTTGTGCCTGCAACTTTGCAAACTATGTAGGCCTAGACCTATCCGAAAGTTCATTGGGCCCTTGACTTGAGAGAAAGTTTTGCCTAAAGAGCCGAGGCATTCCTCCTCGCCCGGGTCCTTACACCCACTCTCTCCCTCTCCTTCTTGGAAGATAAGATTGATTCGTGCGATCGGTGTGAAAGCCATGTAAACAGAGGATACGATTTAAGTCGGTGGACTTCAAAGCGAAGTTCACAGACCCGGTGCCTCTGCGTCAACTATCGGGAAACAAAGTTATAAGGAAGGTTGGGGGCAGGGAGGTGGGAGGGAAGACGATGGGAACGGAAAGAGAGAGATAGAGAGAGAGAGAGAGATGGACGGAGAAAGAGGGGAAAGTGGAGTAAGAGAGAGAGAACAGAGAGAGGATGGAAACTTAGGACAAAATGGGTATAGAAATTCACATAGATGGGTTCGTGAGAGGTAGTTTAAAATAAAGAGAGATGGAGACGTTCAGGAAGAAGAAAGAGCGTGTGAAAGAGGGGCTACAGAGGGAATAAGAGAAGAAGAGGGAAAGAGGAGAGAGAGAGAGAGAGAGAGAGAGAGAGAGTCTTGTCCCTGTTTGACCTCTCGCATCACTTTTTCCCTCCTCATTCTCGCGCTCCAATTTCAGTCACCCCTGACGCCCTCCTCCACCAATTACCCACCACCAATAGCCGCATCCTTTTGACCCACGGGGGCTCAAATTGACAGTCATTATCTTTCACCTTGGATCCCTCCATTAATCCGCTCACGTGTCTGCTTTTGACGATGTGGTGTTTCCTCCTGGCAAGTTCAAGGATGGATCGGGTCATTGGAACCCCCTTTCCTCCCATAGCCTCCCATCCGCTTGAATGTACACCCCTCCACCACACCCCATTCCAAATACCTCTCACCCCACACTCCTTCATTACCCCTCATCCTCTTCTATCGTTTACAACTCTTAGCCCTTTATTCAAACTATGAATTACGAAGTGCATATTCTCGTGCGATGTGATTATCATCTTTGTATTCAGCTAGCAAAGTAAACGTATTCAGTTCGGACGGTGGCAATACTTTGAAGCATACTTTGTAATGAAACGCAAGCGCATAATTCAGAAAGGGAACTCCCTGTTTACCAGGGATGTTATTACACCTCTTGATTGGGACTTTTTAAAACTTACGAAACTGTCTTGTATGACAATTTCACCTTTAAAACGAAGGAACAGGACCTACTTTCATTTCTGAGACCCAATCCCTCAGCGTACTCGCCCACATCGTCTTGTCACCCGCGCGCCATGCTCGGCCAAGACGTCGGGCCCTGTGTGTGGTTCGTTTACTTCCGACGCAGTCCCAGTGTATACAAGACATCTAAACACATCTTTGGTTGTTTATCAATGTAGTTTGATGGAACACAAATTTTGGTTCCACTCGCAAGATGTTATAAATCATCAAAGGAGAGTTGGCTCCCCTGTTCCGTGCTCGTTTTATTTTATTAACTCCATATCTGTATTTAACGTTTCAAAGGCAATGCCATATTCTCTAGGCCTGTATTTGGGCATAAAATCCAACTTTCCATTTTCTTTAAGAACTTGTTACCTTTCTGCTTTCGTTGTATCATCTGTCAGTGTAGTACTCATTTTATATGACTTCTGAAACGACCCCTCCTGATTTGGAACTTCTGAAGAAGTGTATCATTCTACCCGAAGTAGGAAGAAAGATATTTATTGTTCAATTAATTATAGATCCCAGTATTGGAATTCATCTGAATTTTGAGACTTTGCATTCGTTAATCCGCAAAAAAATAAAAAAATTGGCATAAATGAATAGTTTCGAGTAGGTTAACTGGTGGCAATTCATAGAATTAAGATTTTGAACTATTGGATAAACTGCATGAGAATTTAATCAAGAAAACATGAAAGACGTTTACATTTGCGGTGTACTCGATTTAAATTCCATGACATTGTGTCCCTGGAGAACTTTGTATACAGATAGTTCTGAAAAGAGCATTGGGTCCAGACAAAAAGTCCTTTGAATCATACCCGGGTTATTATGTGATAGAATTACGTTTCCATATCCTCTTTTGATCCATTTTACATGTTAGACGAGTCGAAGATTTATGACTTTCAATCATGGTTAAGTGTACGAACAATAAATAAAACATTTTATGTGTTGCTTTTACGCGAATAAAATCTGCAGTAAAGCCATATTTCATTATCCCATTTTTACGTCCTCTCTTTTACTCCTGCCCTCCTTTCTCTGCTGACTCGATGGCTACGATTATCTGTCTGTTTTTGTTTGTGTATCTCCTTCTCTTTCATCCTCCCTCTCTCTCTCTCTGCCCCTTTCGTGTAGAGTGATTGTAACAAAATAGGACAGCGAATTGAATTATGATTTCCGGTATCTTGTCGACGAGAATAAAGGGTGTTTGTTCGGGAGGCTACCATAGGTGTAAACTAAAACGGGGGTTAAAAATATGAAGTATTCTATATCATTCCACCAATAAATTTGAAACATAGATGGGCCTTCTCCACCCTTATTGTATACCGAAATTAGATTCAAGGTCTAATGGCTTTCTGCGTGAATGATGAGTACACATGAACTAATCTGTTTTATTCCACGAATAACGTTGAAACATAGGCTTAAAGAGAATAGATTGGCAATTGCGTGACTATCCTTGTGAGTGGCATTTTCAAGGCTAAATATACACATAATAGACAAATTTTAGTTGTAGGAACAAGGAAATCACATGATATTTTAATTATTTAAAATAAATTCATCAATACTCTACCCTCTATTGCATATTGATTAATACAGTTAGCGTGTTGTGTATGTTATTTTTAAGCATTTCAATCTCACTTGCTCATTCCAGGTGCTATGTGAGGCAGACAGGGAGTGCCCGTACAAGTACTACTGCCACAGCGGCGAGGGCCACAAGTCATGTCTCAGGTGCAGAAAGTCGCATCGTCGTTGCCATAGAAACAAGATGTGTTGCCAGGGAAACACGTGTGTCGATGGTCGCTGCATCCCCCATCAGTTCCGATTCGACGAGGCCTACAACACCGCCGTGCAAAACTTCGAGTCGGAGGTGAACGAGGAGGAGGAGAGTATCCTTCAGGACACCAAGTTTAAACTGAGAAAAGGTAGGTTTTTCATAATAATTATTCGATTTATTCAGTATCCTTCTCTCGTCTTCCTTCTCCTTCCCCTCCCTCTTCCTCTCCGATCCCTCTGTCCACTACCCCTCCCTCTGTCCCCTACCCCTCTCCTTCCCCTCCCTCTTTCTCTCTCCGCTCTCACTCTGCCCCCCTAAGTCTCCCTTCTTCCCCTATCCTCCCCCTCTCCCCTCCTTCCACTACTCATTCCCCCCTCCTCCACCCCTTTTCATAATATTTTTAGATTTATTCAGTACCCTTTCTCCCCTCTCCCTTACAATTGAAGGTTCCAGGCCCGAAATAAACTGATAACCTAGTGCCCTTTTGCGAGGTATTGGTCCTCAATTACTGTACGTTGACACCCCAATTCAATTTTGAGGTAACATCTGAAAGAGATGAGCATTTATATAATACGGGGGAAATTGAATACATGATCATAACTCTGTAAAATAAGGAATGGTTGGTTATTGATTCTAGACTTTTATAGTTATATATATTATCATGATTATCCAGTTGTGTTTCCGGAATCGTGGGCATAGTTTAAGAGCATGAGAAAGGTTTGGGGGCTTTCGGAAATCAACATCCCTATGAACTCGAGTTTCCTGTCTGTTTTTATAATCAATTTCTCTTTTTTTTTTCTGTTCGGTTCTTTCTAGCTCGCCAGGGCGAGCAGTGTTCTTCATCTGTATCGTGCGAGGACGGTTTGTGCTGCGCTCAACATCTCTGGTCCAAAATGTGTAAGCCAATGCTGGAAGAAGGGGACATCTGCACCAAGAAACGTGACCGTCTCACCGACGTCTTCCAGCGATGCGAGTGTTCGCAAGGCCTCTCCTGTAAGCGCGATTCTGTTCCCGAACGCCGCCTCCACGTCTGCCAAGCCGTCAAGCACCGATCAAGCGGCACCAGCACGGAACGAGGTGGCGGAGAGGGCGCTGCTCAGGGTGAAACCTTGTCACAGCGCGAGAGATTACTGTCGCTTCCGGTCGAAAAGATCCGACCGCTTCCGAGCAAGAACGACGGCGACCTCCTCGGCTACCTCTCGGCGGAATCGGGCGAGAAGCTCTTCGACCTCGCCGGCAGAGGCGAGCGGTGGATGATGGGGCGGTCGGCGGAGAAATTGAAAGGCACGGCGTACAGGGACACGACCGAAATTACGCGAACGGAACAAGCCGATATTGAGGCCAGCCAGTTAACTGTATTATGATCACCATGATCCTTCTGATGACTTGATGAGGTAGCAAGATGGTGAGATGCGAATGGTATGATGAGCATCTTGCGCAAAATGATGAGAGGATAATCCGACTATGATGAGGAAGACAATCATAGGACGGGCGCCAGACCTTTGACGGGGAGTCGGAACAGTCAGACATCGCTAATTGGAAAAGTAAACCCAACTCCTTGATGAAGCCGTTTCACTGCCGAACTCTCCCTGTCTGTCGCCGCTCTTTAAAATCTCCTCAAGCAGTGTCGCCACTCGAAAAATCTCGCTCGATTGTTCCACTTTATGAAAAATAGATAAAAATATGATTGGTGCGGTATGGAGAAAGCAAACGAGTTATAGAGAGTCGCTTGTCGGTCATGATGAGCTGAGTTATGGTATCTGTTTAACTAAATCGATAATACAGAGGGTCATATTGCGATGTCATTTAACTGCAGGTCTTCCAGTGCGACCATGCAAAATGCAGAGATGAGAAAATCTAAGTAAGAAGTAACTTTCTCTAATGATTAGGGGGTAAGATTCTGGCTTTATTAGTCACAGTTTTGTATTCAATATAGCATTTCATGATAACCAACAAAACACTTGATTATATAAAAGGATATTTTCTCAACTATTGTACTTAATTTATTAATCATGGTATTAATTTATGATACACGTAACGTTTGTATGTTTATGTTTTAATTTGCATAAATCTTAATCAGGGCATCTAGCCTCGAAATTTGCACTGGCAAAAATGATAATAAGTGTATACAAAATCGATGTTAAATTCTAAAGAAATTGAAATCTGTATTCAGATATGAATATATCACTGACGTTTAAGGCAGTGCACATGTAAAACTTATCATTGTATTCATGTGGCGTGGATGACCAGTGTGTGACGTAACAACATCAATCATGTGATATCTCTCTATTGATTTAAGTATATAACCCAACTCTCAATCACGTTATGTCATGTGATACTGGTCACGTGAACATGTTGTATGTCATGTGATAATGGTCACGTGAACATGTTGTATCCATGCCAACAGTAAATTCAGTTTGATTTCTAATTGTTATGGAGCAATATATAGTAACCTTATATTTGAGAATATGTATTATTTTCTTGTTTGTACATAACACGGGTAAGATATTTCTATATCGATGTTAACACCATATTCGAAAACGATTTTGTTTATGATTTAAAAATTATTTATGATTCCAGTAAGAGCTATAGTAATCAGTTCTTACGACGGTTCGTTTTAATCTTGTTATATTTATGTACCAATTATACTTAAATTAAGAGGATTTATCGGAATAGACATGAGGCTGTATTGCATGCTTAAAGCATGTACTTGTTCGTATTATCCTTCGTAAAATTCGTTAACATGCACAGACTTTAGGGTACAACATTAATATGAAACTTGTTTCGAAATATGTATTTTTTGTAGTCGCTTACAGTCATGATAAGGCCGAGTATAGTGCCACTTTTTGATCAAAAGTTATTCTTGGACAAATTGAAAGTGACACCTTTGCGTCAAAACCTTTTCGATTTTGGTTGTTTTGTTTTTTCCTTTTTAGTTTCTTTTTTCTTAACTTGGTTATCTTAAGCTATAAATCTATCAATATGTCCGATCTGAGAATCAACGATTCACAATTTCCTTGTTTACATTTACTGCCGAACTTAATTTCCTGTTGAAATGCGAGATATTTTCCACTGTTTGTGTTTTTGGTTGGGTTATTAAAACAAAATAAGTTATGCGTTTTATGCTTTGCGTTGAAAGTAGTAAATACTGCGTTTTACCTTTTCCTGAAACCTTGTTCGAATCATAAATTAATGGCTAACGGAACATTCGAAATACGATGATACACAGCTGAGCTTGGAAGGGGTTAGGAACTGGGCAATGAAGTTAGGAACACTCTATTACAAGAAATAGCCGTTAAATCAATAGTTATTAGATTCAAAATGAAAGCAAAAGAGGTGAAAAGTGATGATTTAATGACATCGGAAATATCTATTTCTTGTAATTATCACCTTGGCAATGGCCTCTCCTGTGTCATTGTTCAAGGAATTTGGCTTCAGAACACGGCTCAAAAGATTTAATGGCTTCCCAGAGCCACACCCTTAACCATAAAAATCGTATTAGTCTCTAATCCAAACGTTTGTTAAATTTTGTCATAACCTCTATATAGTCCAGAATATTGTATACCACGGCTCATTGTATAGCTGTTGCAATAGATTGTGGTCATTTTAGAGGTAATATTCTATTTTAACGTTTGGAAATGGGAAGTTGAGCGATGCGGTTATTGTTTCAGAAATAATTACCCCCTGTTTTCTGCATGTAGGCTAATAGTGGAGCGTTTCTCTCTACCTGCCAAGTGTGACTGTCTGACAATCGGACACACCCTTAATTTCGTCACCGGTCTACCATGAAATTGTTGGGTGTCGCTTCAAAGCCCCCCTCCCCCCCCCCTAAAAAAGTTAAACTTAAGCCCCTGATTTGCAATAGGAGTGTGCGGTTATTCTCTTCCTTAAAAACATTATTAAGAGTTATAATTATTCAAACGACACATTAACATGGTATGATATGTTATTATGTAATAATAGGGCGTACTCCCATCAAATATGAATTACAACGGACTGGAATAAAAAATAAAGTCCTCTTCGGAGAAAGCAAAATTCGGATAAAGATTACCTACGTTTTTCATTTTTTTCTTCTCAATGGGTGCGGTTATTTAAATTGGGATGACATTTACGAGGAAAATTGTGTCGTTTCAATGCTGACATTTTAATCACACACTGACAATACGTTTGCCCCACCTTTGTTTTGCTCGCGCGATTTGGACAACATTGCACGTCAATCAGGCAATGCTTAAAATGCGAAAAGTAGGCAACACAGGTTGAGCCTCGAATCCTGTTTATTTTGACAATTCTGAGTCACAGGGTATATGCTTGGAGAATAATCCCGATTGTGGTTTTAGGGCTTCTTAAAATACGAAATCCGCGAGGGCTGTTTTGGCGTTTCCTCGCAAGTTTGGCATTTGACGGCCTCGATCTCGCCTCGTGTTAGGATTACAGCGAACATGGAGAGGAGAGGACGCCAATTTAAAGTCCACCGCATACAATGCGACGCTTCTACGATCGATTTTTTAATAGAAATCGCAGTTGCAATGGCTATGAAAATTTGATCATAATCATCTTCTTGAATGAGGTTCTGAATAACGAAATAAACATCAGCAATCGAAAAAGAAAACCTAAGCCTTCTAGTCGGCATAAAAGCCAAATCGGCTTCAATTCGCAGACAATCGCACAACTGAAACGACGTCACTACGATTCGGAGCCGATATGAATTTTACTCCATCAAGGAAACTTGCAGTCTGCTGACATTTTTATTCTATTATTTATATTTATGTATTTTGAACTAAGTTAATACAGGTTTAAATGTTCCGAGTCAATTGCTATTGCGAGTCCTTCCAAAATGGGGTCGTAGTCAGATCGTATAGTTTGTGGTGTCGCTTTAAATACCTGGAGCGTGATTCCACACATAATGTTACTTTGAGCAAAATAACGATTCGCGAAATGATAGTTAACAAGATTCCAATGGTTGATAAGAAATAAATAGAATCGGACAAAAATATGCGACAAAATCGATACTGATCTGACAATCAGGCAACATTTTATCCGCCATTTTGACGACTTGAAATCAAAACTGAATATATTACAAAAACTTACGATAATTATTGAACACCTTCTTTTTGAAGAGTACTTAAGTATTATGTTTTTTGTTTTAATCATGAGCATGATAGTGAATATATTTATTTTTTATGAAACGGGTAAGAAGATGTTTTAAATTGGACACAACGTTGCCAAATTGGAAATGTAGAGCGATGTAGAGATGATGTAAAGCGATGAATCATTCGGGTTTCATGGACAAAGTATTGATATAATCACTCTCTTACATTGTTGGGCATTATGGTTAGTTATTGTGTCTTAGTGCCTTTGTATTTGCCCAGATGCTATAGACTGACAAATTATATTCTGAATCAGAATTGAGACGTGCTTTCCTGGGTGATACTACTTCAAGCAATTTAATGAGCATGTTTTGCTCGTTTCACGGAATTCCTATTCGACCAATACCCCAAGTCATCACCAACTTATTCTCTAAATTGATTAACGATCAGCATCGTTTCCTGTTTAAATTATTAAAGATGATTGGGTACTTAGCAAAGCAACCATTGTGTTGTTGTTCCTTTTGCATTTCCACTTAATATGCAGAGGAGTTTAAATCCAGACTCGCAGAAGTGCTACCAGTGATCTTTTTATTTTTATGGTTGAAACAACTCCAAAATTGAGGTTTTAATTACTCTTCTGAAAGTGAATTGCGCTGTTTTGAGGTAAATTTCCACTCCAGAATGAAGAGACTAGTATGAGTCCGTAGAGTGAATTCCACTCCTGTCCATTTCCATAGTAGTTTTGGCCGAAGCTCTACGGCTGGAATATCAGCCATGCATGTTGACATTTCAGTATTGTCATTTAAAAGTTATCCCGTTGAACCGAACTACAAAATGATTACGTCCTAATTCGGACTTTGTTTTAAATTCATACCGAGTCATTTATCCTTTGTCTGAGTTCGCCGCCTAGCGCCATTCCGTTCATGCCGTCATAGTTGCCTATCTTTCAGACTTCGCCCCTTATTAAGCCGATGTGTATTCTCTCTTTGATTTGAATCTCTTCTATGATGCCATATCATGTCCGGACTTTTCATTAGGATCATTTTCCATTCCTCAATTTTCTTTCATCCTCATCTTTTCTTTCTCCCTCACATATCATCTCTAATTTGGCTGGTAGCGGTGCGGTGTATACGCCGTGGCGCCGGCCGCATTTGCATCTCAAACGGACGCCGATGAAGAAAAATAATTTCTTTATCTTCGGATAATGAGTTTTTGATTCTTTGTGATTTCGGTTTCATTTTCTTTTCCAATGAAGGAAGAGTCTTATTACGAAAGGATAAATGATTTTTGTTCTCTCTCTCTCTCTCTCTCTATCTACCCTTTCCCATTGATGCGCATGGATTTTGCTCATAGATCTTGCTCATAACGAGGACATTCAACAGTTAATGTTCGAATGGAAAAACTTTTTGCTTCTCTTTTCAGGTTCTCTGAGATGGACCTGTTGTTTGTTTTACCGTTTAACTTATTATACTCTCTCTATATGTGAATCCAACATTCAATCATTCTGTTTTCTAAAACATCTACACACGGCGGAAATTATGGTAACATTGTATTCTGACACGTTTTCACCATGTATTCTGATCATATGCGATCGTTTTCAAGTGTATTTAATTATGTAGAGAGTTGTATTATTTTGATTCCACATATTGTAATAGAATACTTAACTCATAGTGACACGTTTTTCAGACTTTGAATTAGATGGTAATTTAAGTTGATAATAACGAGAATATATATTTCAACCTGCATAGATAAAGATTTGTAAAACGTATTTAAGATTTTAAAATTTTGAATAAATCATGTAAACAACAATTTTACAGAGTTTTGAAAAGTGTATTTTTATATAATATTTTAGCAAAAACAAATCATGTACTGAAATCGTATAGAAAATTTGATAAAGCTTGCTGCTTTTCGATGACTAAAGAATGGAGCTACAGCGTTTTGTTTTCATAAGTTAATAATATTTCTGAACAGTTTCGTTGAAACAACCGTTTTTCTTTCGTTGTTTTTCATTCATGATATTTGATTACTTTTCTCTTGTATGACTTGAATGTAATTTAGTTAAATTTACTGATAAGCTGTACCGTTATCAGTATTTTGATTAGAAATTTCTTGTTATGACAATGATGCATGATTATACCGCATAACCTACATTAATGACTTTAAACCAATTAGGCAGCTATTACATTCGATTGCCTGTCAAAAGGTCGTAACACATCTAAAATAAGACCATTCGTAAAGGCGACCTTTTGGCGGGCAATTTATTGCTTGATTACAATATCTGTTCCAATCGTATATTCGGATACGTAATCAAGGCATGCTTGATTATGACTAGATTTATCTTGCAATCAAGAATAATGTTTCTTCTTCATTATTTTTGTTCCTGATCGATGATTATTAATTAGTTCTTATCTTGATCATGGTTATCAATCATTTTTACTATAATGATGATTTTGTCTGTGGTAAATTGGTTTATTTAGTGTTTTACCTCGATTTAATATCACTTTTATGTTGTGCTTTTTATCTTGTCTATTATTATTTATGAAAGGGCCATTGTGGTACCGACCTTTGTACATATCTGTACATGCCTTTATACAAGAGAATTAAATTTGTATATTACCGTACACGAGCTGCAATTGTGTATTATTAAATATTATCGTGTGACATTATACATCGTTAGAAGTAGAATATGAGAGTGAGAGAGAGAGAGAGAGAGAGATGGGGGGGGGGGGGGGTATGGGTAGGGATTGGGAGTGGTGGAGGAATTGAGATAGAGTGGATTGCGAGAGAGAGAGCCATTGATTAACCCAATAAGAAGGTTCGGAGTAGCGAATAGAGAAAGAGGAAAAAGGGGAAGGAGATCGACAGTAAGAAAGAGATAGAGGGATGGTGAAGATAAGGTTATAGAGAGACAGAGACAGACAGGGAATGAGGGGGATGATGTTAGAGAGATGGAGAGAAGGAGGGGGAGGGTGGTAAACTTCAAGTGCAAGATGGAAAGGAAGCCTACGAAAAGTGAGGTCCCCTGTCCTTGTTTTCACGAAGTGACGGTAGTGAGGAAAATCGTCACGCAAAGTGAAAGCAATATTTTTTTTACTACCGTCACTTCGTGAAAACAGCGACGATAAATGAAAATAATTCACATTTTAAAAAATTCACCAAAAGAGATTTTATATTTGATGAGCATAACCTCATCAACTTGATGAACATACGCGATAAATAATTTAGTACTATTTATAAACATACTGTGATACGACCAGTGGCGTACTACCCAGGAATTATAACGCACAGGCAAACACACTTAATAGCGCCTGAACCCTAATAAATTTCCCAGTTCAAATACACACATAATATTTCTCGTATTTCCTTGAGAGCGGTAACCAGTGCGTTAATTGAATATTTAATACGCGTGGGAACAAAGCGACCGATTGGTAGATTGTCCAACTTTCACCCCTACTCAAGAGGGAGGTGACGTGGTAAAGAGGTGTCACTTGACTTTTAATCCAAGGGTTTAGAGTTCGAATCAATCATACAATCCGGACCACAAGTTCTCTTCTCTTTGCCCCTTCTCTCTTCTGGCCATCTTTTACGTTTTGCGCCCCTTCAAGTCTACTATAATTATTTCTATGCTTCAAGTGCCACCCGGGGCGTGTGCCCCCCTCTGCCCGCCCCTAGATACGACACTGGATACAGCACGGGCGTGTCATGGGGTGGGTCGGTATATTTTGATGTAAAAAATGAGTGGGAGAGGGGAGAGTATGGAAGTTAGAGGTAGCGAAACTGGTAGTAGTATAATCCTCATCATAAGCGTCACCATCTTCATTATTATCACTAAGCCTTGTCGAACAACCTTTCTGGCTAACGATAATTCTTCGAATATGCAAAAATTGACATCGACATTTGAACTTCAAGATTGGTGCTCACCTGGAAAACCTAGTTTCTCTCTCAATCTTTTTCATTTTCAAGCCACGAAATGACCCTGAAAATGGAGACTGCATGGTGTGCAATTTCCGCTACGCCTAAAACACTGTTCATGTCAAAGCAAATTAGAACCCCTATGCAAACGATTCCGGAATATTTAATAACACGGGATCAAAATTGGATATGACGTGAAAGATAAGAACACAATTTCGGCAAGCCCAGTGCCCAAGGAGGGCCGAAGTATTGTCAAAACAAATGATAATTGCACTCTAGCAGTGGTTAAAATCATATCGAATTTCGTATACATTGTGTATTTTATTACCAGTCAACTGTCCGTGTATAATATAGGCCTATAACAATTTTGGCATTTCGAGGCATTAATCTGCGGGGTATTCATCATTACATACTGGATTACATATTGGATGATTTATTTGCGTAATAACATGGTTACAATGACACAATGCTGTACCGAACACCTGGGTGGAGAGCGGCAAATGCCTTGTTTTAGGGATTCGCAAACCTATACGTTTACAGAAATAGACTTAAAGATTAAGTAAAGTTAACAAGAGCTATCAAATTATGTAGGCATTATAGTGAATTTGTTGTGTATAGTTTTGTGAACACATATGCGATTATCATGACTTCAATTGATAATGATTATGCTAATACAAAAATAAGAACATTATCTGAAACGCAAAATTTAAGAATTCATCTACGGGTTCTAAAATAAAAGTCAATCATCATAAGGGAACTGTGGGGGCGTTATTAAAGCCCTATACCTTGAATCTTGAACCTTTGGGCCTTGTTTGATTCCAAAGCCGAGAGCTTTTACATCTAGACATTGAAATTCCACACTTTAAGACTCATGCAGAATACAAATGGAAGAAGAAGATCTTTAATCAGACTAGGAGTATTTCAAGTTAAATTCCTGAAACGTTCAGTATGCCTTTAAGACGGTGAACCACAGCAGGAATGCCGGTCCGTGAGGGTTTATTCCTCGCAGCGAGCATGCTGCGCGCCCCGATCGCGTTACAGGCTAACCGACCGCGCGCGCTGAACCGTTAGCCCGCGGGACCTTTAATCGGGATACCCGGAGCGCGTAATTACCCAGACAAATTGGTCCGCGGCTTGATAATGCGCCCGACAGTGTCACGGTATGTATATGGCGTTAGATGCACTTTATAAAGCCGCTGTCTTTTTGAATATTAGGAAAACTGACCCGTATAAATTATCCAGTCTTCTAATTGTCATGATCGTCATCAAAACGTTGCTTAGTAACTAGAGTATACTGAGATTTTGTTTTACTCACTCACAATAATAATGAACCTGATACCTTTAGCGAACGATTAACAAAAAAGCGTTAATTTGCGTCAAAGAATAGCTATGCATTATGTTCGCTTCTTCTGTCAATAACTTACGAGATATTTGGTCAATTTAACTGGTAGTAAAAGCAAATTAAAATTTGAATTGTCATCTCTTTACAGAATTCATGATTAAAATATAATACAGGCGGTGCTCGATAAAAACACCTACGTCTATTTTGCAATACTGTTTTTATATTTCGAACTTCGTATACTTGTTATGAAAAACTAAAATGCCAACAACATCGCAGCGATAATTGCTTTCTATATCAGCTGATGTAGAAAGTATCCAACCAGAAATTTTCTGTTGCAACGGCGATAAAAAGAGACATAGTGGTTCTTGTTGTATTTTTTTCTTAATTTTCTCCTTTTTTGTACAAAGCTAGATGATCATTTTTGTATTCATGTCTCTCTTCGATAATACTCATGTCTTGACTCATCGTAAGAAGGTTGCAACCAGTCGTAAGTTAGGTGAGTAAGATAGGATGCGAAGGTCACCGTAGCTTCCAAGGCAGTGTGGGCGCCTGTAAATTGGAATGCTCCCCAGGGAGTGGAGAAGGTGTCCGGACACACAGCACCCCGTCCTACAGGTTTCAGTGTAATATATCTGTAAAGCGCCTACAGAAACATCGTCGTTCAATTAAACGCTAAATAAACCCGGGATTTGCTGCAGTCTGTCGTAAGCTTAGTAAGTCGTTGACCCTGGAGTCCATATTTTTCTGTGGAATCCCTTTACAGAAAGCGTGCCAGCATTAGTTATCTTTTAATGAGGGAAGCATAGTCAATGAACGAAATGATTTTTTAAAACTGTCATTAGGCATCTATTATCGCGAAATGAAAGTCGTTTTCAGTAGACAGATTTTTCGTCAATTGGCGGTTTATCCTCAGTGTATCGTAACCTGCTGTTAATCGCTTTAATCCTTTAAATACAGGGATTTGTAACTCTCTTTAAAGAGAGGGGACCCCACGCAAGACGCAAGATGTAGATACCTCAATTTGGCTGTATTTCGGTCTACACGATTCAGGTATACTTATCATAGGTCCTACAAAAAGGCTTTCATCAGCTTGGAGAACCGAGTACTGGGAAATAGGTCTACTTGGAAAACAGCGAATAACACTCGGTGTATACATCGCCATCAACGTTTACAACGAGACAGGGCGTACAAAAGGCATTGGGGAAATATTTCAACCTAGTATAGACATAGATTTGTGATTAAAATATGCTGTGGTTTAATTATCTCAAAATCCATGAAGGATTAGTCATGTAAAGATCTTTCCAAAAAGCAAGCATATAAAAAAAAATTAACCACAGCACTATATTGAATATAATACATTGTATATCAACAGCAGGTTGACATTTCTGAATAAAGTACGTCTACTATTTATTGAGAGGAATCAACTTTGATAAGCGCCGTGGGAGGTTTATTCATTAAATATATTTAAACGTGAATTATAACGTCATTAGGAATCCATTATTCTGTAATGAGTACTTTTTCAGTGGCCTGATTTGCGTCAAGTGGCGGTTTATCCTATGATGTATCTTAACCTGTTGATAATCACTTTAATCCTTTAATACTAGGATGAGTAAATCTCGGCAAAGAAAAGGAGTCCCGCACAAGATTTTCGAGGAAGCAAGTGTTTTCGTTCATTAAGAGGGATGTGGACCTGCGACAGCCAGTTTCTTTATCTAAGTGAAATTAGAGAATGTTGAAGTACAACAATTTATTTTGATCGTTTAAAAAGTCCAACTCTATTACAAATCAAAACAAAAATACGCGTGAGCGTTTTCAATGACCTATTTGTTTTATTTGCTTATTTTTGACATTTGCATCAAGAATTCTTAGCTATTGAAGCAATCACATTATTATTATCACAATTATTATAAAAAGGTTCAATACATGTTATATTGGCATGCATGTTTAAGTCTGTAGAAATGAGCAGATTAAGATTTACTTTCAGATAATAAAGGTAAAAGTGATAGTATTTATAGGTAGTCGGAGGTAAATAAGAGACGCAATAGCATTCATATCGTTTCATTTTTGCATTTGTGTTCATAGGGAAACTAAGAACGTAAAATATAATGTATTTTTAGAGAGTTATAATGATGCACAATCATTGAAGCCACATCATGCCGAATTTAGAGTGGATCTTTTTTGTGTCATAAAATAATTTGGACTTAAGCTAATTGTAATCAGCTATTGTTATGTGTTGTCCTTTCAAGGTATACATTTCGTTTCATTTTAACACGTGCTATATTGTTAATAAACAAGATGAATGGAATGAAATTAAATCAAGTTTTATGTGCAACTCCTCGGAAATAAATAAATAAACAACCTTATTGT